AAAAAAAAACTAAAAGGTAAATTTAAAATTCTTGCATTAAACTTGGAAAAATCTTGAAAGTACTGATTGCTTAACATTAAAGAATAAGAAAAAGAAAATATACTTAATCAAACAAAAGAAATGGTAAGCAAATGACATATTAAGAAGAAATATACGACTGCGGATTCTCCTCATCGCTGGACTCCTCTACATCATTGGCTGCTTCATTATTCACTAAAGAATACTTGATTTTGTAGTTGTGGCCTCCAAAAGAATTCTTTTTACATCTTCCTCAGATCTTATTATTTGTGGTCTTGAGATTTCACTCCTTTTATACATTACTCTGCCACCTCGAACATAAACGCTACGATATCCAATGTTCTTAAGAGCTTTAGCGTAGTTGAAAAGGATTAGAGTCTCCTTACTTAAAAAGTCATTAATAAAAACTGAGTTTGTCGCGGGATTATCTTTCAGTTTCGACTTCGATGCCATCATTTTGTCTTTAGCTGATTTATTAGAAAATTTTACTACAACTGTTTTCTTCCCATTGGTTGGTTTGTTATTAGGCAGAAAAAAAGCATCTTCAATATGTTCCCTCTGTACATCGACACCTGCATTCTTCGTAAGTGTTAATACAGATTCAACTGCTGTGGCTCCATCTGATACTTTTAAGCCGCTCACAATACAATCGTTCTTCACACGCCCATCATTCAGCATCTTTACAGACAATTTTAAATCGTTCACTTCTCTACGCAACTTCAAGTTCTCCTTCTCAACTTCACTTAGTTTCTTTTTATTTTCAATAACTCCCTTCAATATCTCATCGTACTGTACCGACATAAATGTCATTGATTTTTGTATTTCACTCAGCTGATCTAGTTGTATCAACTTTGTTTTTATTTCTTTTAAATCTCTTTCCATTTCTCCTCCTCCATTACACAAATGACAAACAAACATCTCGCTCTCATTTTCTAACAACTGTTGGAATTGACGTTTATCCAGCTTAGTGCACTGAGAGTGGAACTTTTTGGCGCACTTGTCACATTCGATGGAATCTTCTGTTTCCTCTTTGATTATCAATTCGCATTTTCAGGTATATTGTAACCAATAAACAATATAAAACACACTTTCGTAGTCTTAAAAATTGCTTTAATAGAGAATTTTAATATATTCTACACTCGGTTGTTACTCTCGCCAAAAAACACGTCTGCACTTCAGGGTTGCCAACTTACTGTTCTTTCTTTCTGTGTTGCCGGAGAAGAGGGGCAGAACGCGGAAACTGATTTTTGTAAACCTTCCAAAAGTTATTTGCGAAAAACCCGTTTCATTCAGCTCAACTTTGTCAGTACTAAATTCACGTTAATAAATGCACTAAATGAAACATATTGGTATGTGGATGTTCACTATAGTTTACTTTAACTGAATTTGTAACAAAAAATCGCGACACTTATTGATTTAATTAAATATTAATGCGAAAACAATGTACAAAAAACCGGCGTCGCATCTATTCTGCTAGTTGTAATTAAAACATGGAGGTGCTTGGTGGTGCCAATGTATTACTTTTAGAAAAGGTTTTAATTAGTGAAGCCAGTAACAATAAATGTGAAAGACTTCAAGTTTTTTACAACTAAAGAACTGGCAGAACTTTGTTCTAATAAAGGGATAAATTTATCAGTTTATCAACATTCTTACATGAACGCACCTTGATAAATAATTGCATACATTTTTTTATTATTTAACTTATATTGCTAGTTGCGTTTCATTCTTACCTGGTACATTGTGTTCATTTGTTTTTTAGGTGTTCGTAGCAAAAACGACCACCAGGCAACCTGTCAGGGTTTAATTTGGCTGAAATTTATGCATTTATCCACCAAAATCGTTTCATAAAGTGATACACTTTGGTTAAATAGATTTCCATTTAAAGTTTGACAGTTCATTTATCAAAATGATAAATTTATCATTTTATCAAGTTTATCAGCAGTTTATCACTTGTGATGAAGACCCCTATTATATTGGCAACACCGAGCTATGGGCCCTGTCTCACAGTCAGTAATTATCACAATTATTTTAAAATTTCCCATGGTAATTAAAATTTTTTCAATTTGTTTTGAAAGGTTTTAAGCAACGAGAACGAAAGCATAGCGAATGTTTTCGATGTTCGCATTATGAAAGTGCTACACGCTCAATATTTATTGACAATATCGCGATCCGCGATCGATTTCAAAATTTTTAGAAATTTTGCGATATGGATCACGATCCATCAATACTGCATGCTACTCCGTCAATAAATATCGCGATACTTGGATCACTCAATAAATACTGATCGTGTGACAGTGCACAATACCAGGTTTTTATTATTCCTAGCTGCAACTAGCAGAATAAATGCGACGCCGGTTTTTGTACATTGTTTTCGCAATAATATTTAATTAATTTTTTTAATATTTTTATTGAGCTTTGTACCACGATTGTTTATTAGGAAAAATTGAAAAAGCAACAAAGTCTAAGCGGTAGAAGTTATAGCACTATAGAAGTCTGATGAGGAGATGTGGTGATCTCCGAAATAGTGCTATAACTTCTACCGCTTAGACTTTGTTGCTTTTTCAATTTTTCCTAATAAACAATCGTGGTACAAAGCTCAATAAAAATATTAAAAAAATAAAATGTTAACAAGCCACAATAACATTGACCAATATTTAATTAAATCAATAAGGTTCGCGATTTTTTGTTACAAATTCAGTTAAAGTAAACTATAGTGAACATCTAGATATGTATACATTTAAAGGATTTATTAACGTACATTTAGTACTGACAAAGTGAACTAAAATCGAACTGTTTTTACGAATAACGTTTAAACGGTAAAAAAAAATCTTAATACTTAATACTAATACGCGTCGTTTGATACTCCTTTCAATTGTTTTGCACCATTTTTCGGTGGTGGACCCTAATGGCGAACAATGAACGACAGCATCGCTAAATTCTGCGAAGTTTGCCGTTCGCCGGCATTGTGTTTCGCCTATTACATTATTATTAAATCACAGTCGAGCAACAAAAAAAGGGGCACACTGATGAGGTGGATTCCGAGCACTGATATGAATATATGAATTCGAATTGGAACACATTTTGTGGAGAACAGTAAAACTGTATAGACGTAAACATCTGCCGAGTCTTTGATTTTGAAAGTAAATATTAAACGAATATGACAGCAAATTCGACTTCGGTGGAATCGACATCAAAGCAACCGGGAGCAATGGTCAAAGGTTACCTTTTCCTATACAATGCCGTACAAGTGGCTGGTTGGAGTTTAATCCTATTCCAATTGATAAATTTCTATCTTCTGCAAGGGCCAGAATTCCGGGCACAAGTTTCACTTTGGGACTACACTTATCTTGCAGTAATTGTTTTCCAAAATGCTGCATTTGTTGAAATTGTAAATGCAGCATTTGGTCTAGTAAAGTCAAATCCAGTGATAACTGCATTTCAAGTACTGAGTCGAATGATGGTTGTAATTGGAGTTGTTATGGCTACGCCGAGTGGAAAGGTGTCACCTGGACTTCCCATCGCACTTTTCGCTTGGGCTGTAACGGAGATCATTAGATACGGCTACTATGCATTAAACATTTTAAATGTTATGCCGTATATTGTTGTCTTTCTACGTTACACAACATTTATCGCACTGTACCCAATTGGAGTTACTGGAGAGTTGCTGTGTTTTTGGTGGGCACAGAGCTATGCCAAATCAAATACAATTTGGTCATGGCAACTGCCAAATAAATGGAATGCCACATTCTCATATTTTACGCTACTTTGGATTGTGATGCTCTTGTATATACCACTCTTTCCGCAAATGTATTTGCACATGTTTGCGCAACGTAAAAAAGTATTAAGTGGAAACAACAAATTTCGAACAATGAAAAAAACTGAATAATTAGCATGGTAATTTGGATCAAAGTTTGTATATTTATTCCAAATATGGTATTTTTTATAATTTTTGATATGTATGTATGTATGTATAAGAAGCATATAAAATATATGCAAACCTGTTTTATATCTGTGTCTCTTGCTGAATATCGTTGCACTTTGCTCGACCTTTCGCATATTATGTAAATTTTAATAAAAGGTGCTGAAACCATACCTTCGACAAAAAAAATTAATTTATGTACATACATAAGGTTGAGCACCAATGGCCAAACCGATTGTTGTAGCAGCACGTAGACCTACGCCATGGTGCAATTATACGATGTGTTGTATAGAGCGTGTCAGACGTGGCAATCATAACTATTACGGTATCCGACGGATGCCATCTGCACGGATCTAATCCCATTCGCACTGTCGTAACACGCGAGTGTGAAGGAAAATCTTTGTGCGATTGACATTCGCAGTAATCCTTTACAGTAGCTTCATATCACAGTTTGAATTGGATTAGACCCCTGCGGATAGCATTCGTCAGATACCGTAATAGGCATCAATATTTCCAACTTTTCCACGCAATTCGCAGTCAAATTGAAAAATAAAATTTTATTTCGATGTGTGAACAGTCAGAAAGACCTTTCTGTCACATTTCGGAAATCAGTTTCAGAAATAAAACTTAGGTGGACAGCATGGTACAGGTATTGGGGTACTCTATGAATTTGTACGATTTTGGGTTGCTGTGCCCAAAACGCGTGAATCGAATCAAAAACCTTTAAAACACACTTGTAGACAACAGTTCACGCTTTATGACAGAAATAAAATTTACTATATCTGTGCACTAATTTATTAATGTCGGAAATATGGTATTTTTTGCAAAGTTTTCGAGCCGAGCTGTCAAACAAAAAATATCCACGAAATATCTGTGCAAAAGGTGTTCAGTCCCTCTTCTTCAGTAAAACAGAAAGGAGAATTCTACTTAGTGAGGGTTATAATCCCTAATCGCGGCCGGAGGCCCCCCACACAGAAAGTTGTTTTCTGCAAAAGTTGTTCAGCCACTTTTCTTCGGCAACACAGAAAGGAAAATTCTACCTAATGTGGGTTATAATCCCTAAGTGCGGCCGAGGACCCCCTACGCAGAAATGTGCTCTCTGCAAAAGGTGTTTAGCCCCTCTTCTTCGGCAACAGAGAAAGGAGTAGTGAAGGTTATAATCGTTTTGGAAAAAATCCAAATTTCCTGTTTTCAAACAGCTCCCAAGGGGTCTTTAAGGGGGGTTTGGGGAGCCACGCCCCTCCCCTCCTCCCCCCACCCTTAATCGTTGTACAAATAGTTAAAGATTTCCCCAGGTATTGTCTTCCCAGAAAGCGCATATTCCGATCTGACTTATTGGAAAAATTTCATTGTTGCCCACATACAGGCTAACCTAATATTCGCGGCTTGCGTTTTGGTACGCATGCCGTCGAATTTGTTTTTTTGCGTCACCCGAAATTGACTTGCATGCGTTTGCATTTGATTTCATTGAGCGAAACGTCAAATCAAAATGTCACGCAGAACAAAAATTGGAAATTGAGTTAGCTTCATACGCACGCCGTTCAATTTCGGTTGATCTCATACAAGTTGCATGTGCATGAGAAATTTTTGACAATAAATTGGCGGCGTGCGTGAATATTAGGTTAGCCTG